GAGAGGGAGGTCAGGGTCAGGGGTCAGGAGGGTGAAGGAGAGTGAGGGAGAGGGGAGGTGAGGGTCAGGGTCAGGGAGGGTGAAGGAGAGGAGGGGAGAGAGGAGGGCGGTCAGGGCTGGAGGGTAAGGGAGAGTGAGGGAGAGAGGAGGAGGCGTGTGAACAATGAACAGAGCGTGGAACAATGAACAAAGGCGTGGAACAATGAACAAAGGCGTGGAACAATGAACAAAGGCGTGGAACAATGAACAAAGGCGTGGAACAATGAACAAGGCGTGGAACAATGAACAAGGCGTGGAACAATGAACAAGGCGTGGAACAATGAACAAGGCGTGGAACAATGAACAAAGGCGTGGAACAATGAACAAGGCGTGGAACAATGAACAAGGCGTGGAACAATGAACAAGGCGTGGAACATTGAACAAGGCGTGGAACAATGAACAAGGCGTGGAACAATGAACAAGACGTGGAACAACTGTACAGCCATAAGCCGTCGGCAGTTAGTACAGCCACCGTAGCCATTCCAGACATCTGCTTCTCACTTCTGTCCGCCGGGTGAGTGTGTGTCCCTCTCCCTCCCTCTCCCTCCCTCTCATCTTCCTTCACTCTCCTTTACGTCACTCTCACCATGACGTCAGCACCTCAGAGAGATGATTGCGAGAGAGAGAGAGAGAGAGTTATCCCAACTACTGTCACTTGTGTAAATATATCATCTCTGGGTTCTAATGATGTTAACATGTACCTGTGTGTGTGTGTACCTGGGTGTGTGTGTGTGTGTACCTGCGTGTGTGTGTACCTGCCTGTGTGTGTGTGTGTGTGTGTACTTGTGTGTGTGTGTGTGTGTGTGTGTACCTGTACCTGTGTGCGTGTGTGTATACCTGTGTGTGTTCTTGTAGTATTTCCTGATTTCCCGCCAAAATGAACATCTACTGTAGGCTACCATTTCCCGCCAAAAATATAATAATAATTTAAGCGGGAAACGACTCACGTTAAGCACAATACATCACAAACTTCAACTTCATCTTTAAACACTTTTGGGAAGTTTAAGGCGTCACCATACCGTCTTAGGTGTCACCATATCCTTATAGAGATTCTTCCAATCTTCCCAATCTCCCAATTTAGGCCGTAATAAGACGAAATAGGCCTACCAGAAATTGGGGAATTGATATGGACGTGTTGGGACCCCGTAACCTGGTAGTCGACATCACAACATTTATTCATAAGTTCATGTTTTATTTATTTTTGTCTGTTTTATTACACATTTAAATTATTATTGTTTTATTTTATTTTTCGTTTTATGTGTTTGAAAGTCGGTTTAAATTGTTCGTTTCTACGGGAGATCTGACAAGTGTAACCTAAGCCGAAGCCAATTTAAGATGTGGATGTTTTCGTGTGCGTAACCTTAGCGTCGTTGTCACTTACACATATTTATTTTAAGTTAACGCTATATTTTTGTCTTTGGTGGTGTTTTTTTTTTAATATATATAAATTACTTTGTATGTTTTATGTGTTTTAATGTGTTTGAAAGTCAGTTTGAAATGTTTGTATATAAGCCAAAGGTGATTAATGAAGCCTAAGCCCAAACCAGGTCAAGAATTCGGACGGATGTGTGGTGATGACGTTATCTTAATTGTTGGAACGGGCGCCAGATGGTCTTGCATCCTCTGATAGTCTTCACAACCTCTTCTAAAAAAAATCATATATACTGTACTATCTCTCGCCGGCACTTCAGTATCTCTCCGTCTCTTCTCAAAAAGTTTTTATCTCGTTATCTCTCTCTCCGGGACCTTCAATAGCTAGTTGATAAAGAGACATAATAAGCTGCCATTGGATTTGCTTTTCAGCGCGTAATGGACTTGTCCGACCAATGGCGTCTCTTTTAGCGAGATAAGAAGACACTCTGATTGGTCGAGCTGGTCATGTGATCTTATCGAGACTTTGTGATTGGTGGGTCTATAACCTTAAGCTGTGATTGGCGGATTTAGACATACAGAGCTACTCATCTCCCCTCACCCCTCACCTCCCCTCACCCCTCACTTCCCCTCACCCCTCACTTCCCCTATTTCCCTCTCCAAAGACCAACTGTCTCCCCTTGTCTCAAAGACCTAATTGAAACAAAACACTAATTACTGTGAGCAAACACTCTCTCTCTCTCTCTCTCTCTCTCTCTCTCTCTCTCTCTCTCTCTCGGTCCCTCACAAGAGAATTAGGAAATGAGTTACGGTTAAGTTTCCGGAGGTGATTGAACGGTGGAATTGCTTGGTTGGTGGTGGTGGTGGTAGTGGTGGTGGTGGTAGTAGTGGTGGTTAACAATCTACCACAATTCTCTAACCATCCCTACATTAACTACCTACCACCATCTACCACCCCCCTATACCTGGTCACAACCTGTGGGTCTTTACCTGTCACCTGGGAACACATCCTGGCTCTCTCCTAGTCTTAATTACCTGACATTACCTGACATTACCTGACATTACCTGTACTATTTTAACACATTCAATAACTTCCTATAATTTTTAGGTTAGGTTAGGTTAGGTTAGGTTAGGTTAGGTTAGGTTAACATCACTCCTTTGTTGACTCTTCATCTCTCCAACAGAGGCGCCGCCCTACAAACGCCCAACTTTCCTGCCAGCGCCTCTCACGCCCACCAGGGCCTCCACCACGCCCACCACCAAGGCCTCCACCACGCCCTGAGGCCTCAACCACGCCCTGAGGCCTCAACCACGCCCTGAGGCCTCAACCACGCCTCCCACGCCCTGAGGCCTCCACCACGCCTCCCACGCCCTGACGCCAATTGGCCACCACAACAAGTATATATACAATGTCTATCAGGAATACATATATTTATACATAAATATACATAATCGTTATAAAATAATATAAATGTACATATACTAACGTGCTTCAATACATATAATGAATGTGTACTTAGAGGTATACATAGAGGAGGACATTTGTGTATATATGTATAAATATACATAGAAAAAATGGTGGTAGGAATGTTTAGAAAATTATACATCAATAGACATACTAGAAACTTTTGGGTGGCGAAAAATCATACATAGGTGGAACACATGAGTGACAACAGCGATCATACATGAACATACATAATATACAGCCCTGGGTGGAGAAGAATCATACATATACGGTGGTATACATAAAGAGGCAATAGAAATACATTAAAAAATATACATATCGGGCACTATACATACATACGGCGTTCATATGCAACATTCTATACACTATATGCTGTCAGGTATACAGCATTGGCGTATGTATATGTATATGTATATTAATTCAAATGAAATAAATACGGAGACCTAGTATTTTACAGCATTGGACATTTACTGAATGCTGTACAGAGAAAATGCCTACAATTGCAGCATTTATTTGTTTGCTGCTGTTCACAATTATCGTTTGTTTATTTTTGCTGCATTAGAGAAAAGAGAAGAAAATTGCTGTTTGTTAATTACTTATATTATTTAAGTAGTGTTTATTCAGCCTTAACCTTGTATGCAAAACACTTATATATACTTGTCGTTCCTGTTAAGTGTTTAGTAGTAGTGATCAGGATGACGTCAAGTGGTTCAGAATGACGTCAAGTGGTTCAGGATGACGTCAAGTGGTTCAGAATGACGTCAAGTGGTTCAGAATGACGTCAAGTGGTTCAGAATGACGTCAAGTGGTTCAGAATGACGTCAAGCGGTTCAGAATGATGTCAAGTGGTTCAGAATGATGTCAATGGTTCAGGATGACGTCAAGTGGTCCAGGATGACGTCAAGTGGTTCAGAATGACGTCAAATGGTTCAGGATGACGTCAAGTGGTCCAGAATGACGTCAAATGGTTCAGGATGACGTCAAGTGGTCCAAAATGATAAAAGGTAGACTGAAAAGTGCTCAGGAAAAGTGAAGAAAAGTGTGCTAAGGAAAAATTAAAAGAAAGTGTTTGAAAGGAAAGTGAGACGAAATTTTTTTTTAAGAAAGTGTTCAAGAAAATGGAAGGAAATTGGCCAAGAGAAAGAGACAGAGACAATATTCAGGACAAAAAACACAAATTATTACAAAAAATCCCTAAAATTTATCCAGGGAAAAAATGTGTATAGGTTAGGGAAAAATGTGTGTATATCAGGGAAAAATGTGCATAGGTCAGGAAAATACTGTGTATGTGTAAGGAAAAAACATACGTAAAAGTGCTCAGGGAAAAAAACAGAAGGAATATGCAAATTAGCTAAAAGAGTGAAATAAAGTGATAAAATAAGAAGAAAAAAAGATAAAGAAGAATGATAAGAAAATAGACGATAATAATAATAAATAGAAAAAAATGTTTAATGAATTAGAGAGACAAACAGACAGAGAGAGAGAGAGAGAGAGAGAGAGAGAGAGAGAGAGAGAGCACAAAATGAACAGACAATGAACAATAACATAACAAATATGAACTATTCAAGGTAAATTTATCAATCGTCCATAAAGGCGAAACTCCCATGCATATCACTTAATCAAAATAGTCTTAGTGTGTCTCATCCTATGCCAAAAACTAATAATAATAATAATAATCCGATGATCGACGGACACAGGAGAAGGGAAGTGAAAAAAATAAATAAAAATAATAAAAAAAATGGAAACTTTTGGCAACTTTCATCAGTGACGTCATAGATTGGACATTAAAGTTGCCAGATGTGGGATTTTTTTTATTTATTTTTATTTATTTTGACTTCCTTCAGATGTCTCTACCGTGCGGAGATATTGAAACAAAAGACAAATAATAAGAAACTTGATTATTTTATTGTTTTGTTTATTTATTTATTGTTTTTTTTAAAAGAATATTATATAAAACATATTTTGTGTTGGGTTTAAGAAATAAGGGGATGGTATATGCCCTTCTTGCACGATACAGGAGAGTTGATGGCCATGGTGATATATGCCCTTATTGCCCGGATCTATATAATACCTCACCCCTTCCCCCTCCCTCTTCCCTTTTCCCTCCCTCCTTCCTACACCCCACCACCCCTTACCCTCCCCCTATTCTCCTTTACTACGGGCCTGCTATCCTATAAATCACTAAACTACAAAGTGTGATTGACTGTGATTTGTAAACATTATTTTCTATGTTTATAACCGTACCACCAATTACCAAATATCTAAAGAAAACGGGATGTAGGTTCAGATTTCTCAAAAGTTCAGATTTCTCAAAAGTTCAGATTTCTCAAAAGTTCAGATTTCTCAAAAGTTCAGATTTCTCAAAAGTTCAGAAGATGAGAGATTTTTCCTCCCCATTCTTAACTATGATGAGAAAGAAAACAGTTTAGTCATGGTAAAATCCCAAGGCATTATCGACGCCAATTAAACTGTGTTCTGACGCCTCCAGCAAGATGAGACGAAAATTATATATATATAAAAAAAAGATCTTTGAGAATCTGTATCGAAAAATCTTAATATAATCCAGATTTTTTTTCCTTCTCGCAGATTTCAACAGGTGTGTGTGTGTGTGTGTGTGTGTGATATAATTTACGTAATGTTTATTCTAATTAGGCATCTCACCTGGATGTAACATAACCAGGTGTGTTGATTTACCTTAACTTAACTATCTTAACATTAATCGTCGCGTCTGATACAAATGTTGAAAAATGTTGAAATGTTGTGATGTTTATTTCCTTCCCCAGATGTTGATATGTGTTAAGGTTGTCTGTTAACTTTTTATTAATTAATTTTTACCTTCGTGACATTTAAAAGACAAAAGTTTGTTTACAAATAATAAATGAAAATAATGTTATTTCCGCCCATAAATATTAATATCTTAACAGCCAATCACCATTAAGATACCGTAGTCAAAATTGGCCAATCACGTACGAGTTTACAAGTCGAGTAGAAAAAAATAAGGTTTTGTTTTTCATTTTATTCCACCAATGAGAGGAGGCTCCCAAAACAGCCAATCACCGCCAAGTAAAAATCAGATCCGTAGCCAATCACTGTCAACATTACTATTATTTTTCCTTCCCATCCACCAATGAGACGGCTTCTTGATACACCCAAGACAGCCAATCACCGCCAAGTAAATCAGACCCGTAGCCAATCACCGCCAAGTAAATCAGATCCGTAGCCAATCACTGTCAACATTACTATTATTTTTCCTTCCCATCCACCAATGAGACGGCTTCTTGATACACCCAAGACAGCCAATCACCGCCAAGTAAATCAGACCCGTAGCCAATCACCGCCAAGTAAATCAGACCCGTAGCCAATCACCGCCAAGTAAAAATCAGACCCGTAGCCAATCACCGCCAAAAACACCAATTTTTTTCCCTCGATAGTTGGAAATTTATTAACAAGACGACAATAGTTGGTAGTGAAAGAGACATATAGCGATAATAAACAGCCATAGTGAGTTGTAAATGAGTCTGATAGCTGTAAATGTCTTCTCTTTTGTATGTCTTTGTAAATATGTAATGATAGATGTACCCAATTGTAAATAACTTAGAGATAAATAACATTGCCAAGATTTTCTGTTGTTAAAATGGTCGAGTACTGATAATGTGACTTATGGCCGTCACTAGAAGTTTGTTTCGTTTAGGTCCTGTTTCACTTTCTTCGTGTTTCACTTTCGTTATTTGCTTCGTTTCTTTCAATTTCGTCAAGTATATTTTCGTGTTGTTTCAGTATTATTTAGTTTTAGTTTCATCTATTTACTTTTTTTAAGTTTCACATAATTTCACTTTCCTCACTTTAGTTTGTTTCCTTTTCATTCATTTTTTTATTCAATTATTTCCTACGTTTCAAGTTTCATTTTGTGTTTCATATTTAGTTTCAGTTAAATTCTCATCATTCGCCTTAAGAGGATTACAAGATGTTTTTGTCTACCCTCCCTCCGTTTTCTATAACTTTTCCCTCACCCTCCCTCCGTTTTCTATAACATTTCCCTCACCCTCCCTCCGTTTTCTATAACTTTTCCCTCACCCTCCCTCCGTTTTCTATAACTTTTCCCTCACCCTCCCTCCGTTTTCTATAACTTTTCCCTCACCCTCCCTCCGTTTCTCTCTTTCCCCTCACCCTCCCTCCGTTTTCTATAACTTTTCCCTCACCCCTCCCTCCGTTTTCTATAACTTTTCCCTCACCCTCCCTCCGTTTTCTATAACTTTTCCCTCACCCTCCCTCCGTTTTCTATAACTTTTCCCTCACCCTCCCTCCGTTTTCTATAACTTTTCCCTCACCCTCCCTCCGTTTTCTATAACTTTTCCCTCACCCTCCCTCCGTTTTCTATAACTTTTCCCTCACCCTCCCTCCGTTTTCTTTACCTTCGTCCCCTAGCTTCCCATTTTCTTCAGCTATCATTGTGAAAATAAAAGTGTAAATAGACATAGTTGTAGTGACCAATAAAGACGGATTTCCTGACCCAACTATATACTATTAGCGCCCATGTCGACTGCCGTTCCTTAACACTTTATTGCCCACCCCTTAAGTGAGCGTGTGAGGAAGGGTAGAGGTATGTGAGAAAGTGAGTGTGAAGGGGTGTGTGTGAGAGTGAGTGTGTGGAGAGGTGAGTGTGTGTGAGTGGGAGGGTGAGTGTGTGTGAGTGGGAGGGGTGAGTGTGTGTGAGTGGGAGGGGTGAGTGTGTTGGCAGCCAAAGGATATGGCGTTAGAGTGTGTTGTTGTGGTCAAGGTCATTCATTTGTTAGATGGTGATGAAGTCTTCTGTCCAGAGTCGCACAGGTAGTTGGTCACGCCCACCTCCACCTCTCTCTCTCTCTCTCTCTCTCTCTCTCTCTCTCTCTCTCTCTCTCTCTCTCTCTCTCTCTCTCTCTCTCTCTCTCTCTCTCCATAATTATAACCACTTGGAGACATCTATTCCTCCACCCTCTTATACTCTCATTGTTTACAAACAGTCTCTGACGTCATAACTTGTGACGTCATCTCGCTCAGCATGATGGCTCTGGGACGGTAGTGTTGGTGACGTCATCAACTACTCTTTAAAAGCACAAAAAATGTTTGCATGCCGAGAAGGAATTTTTTTTTTTTTGTAATGCGAAAAAAATAAAACAAATTTTCCTCTGACCCGAATCAATAGACAATAATTAATATTAAATTCTGTATATAACTCTATGAATGCCCATTGGTCAATAACTCCAAAGTCTTGACCAATCAGCAACCATGAGTAGCATACCTGAAGATTATACTCAAACGAGCAACTATAATAGGGTCAGTATATATATAAGCCGTATATATATATTAAGATAACATAAATATATTTGCCATATTCGACATAAAAGAGCTGCTATAGACTTCCATTTTGTGTATACTGAGGCTGACTGTCTGACGTGTGCGTGTTGACTAAGTTGCCTTCTTCATTACATAGGGAAAATAGTTCTCTTATTAAATACGACTTAGGTTGCTGCCTCAGTTAATAGGAAACAGTTTATATACCAAAGACTACATAGTTATCTCTTACGTTCACTTGTTACATATTATATATTTACTTTCATCTGTTATATATATTGTCAATACTTACATATTCATCAAGAAACTCTACATATCAAGGTCACATATCGAGAGTTCTGTTGGGGGCGTATTACGTGGTGGTACAGCTGGTGGTGGAGGAGGAGTGTTGGAGGGGCAGCTGGTGGTGGGAGGGACAGCTGAGTGTTGGAGGGACAGCTGGTGGTGGAGCTGGTGATGGTGGTGGAGGAGGAGTGTTGGAGGGGCAGCTGGTGATGGAGGAACAGCTGGAGGGACAGCTGGTTGTGGAGAAGGAGTTTTGGAGGGGCAGCTGGTGATGGAGGAACAGCTGATCATGGAGGGACAGCTGGTGGTGGAGGGGCAGCTGGTGATGGAGGAACAGCTGATCATGGAGGGACAGCTGGTTGTGGAGAGACAGCTGGTCACGTAGAAACAAACATGGAGTAACACTTAATACACAAACTACCACATCCGCCAAACCTGTAAACCAAAGACAAATAAATATTACTTTATGTATATTAAAAACTTGGTCAATTTTATGGATAAATATGAAGTTTTTTTTGTAAGTTGTTTGAGGATGTCAGACTTATGGCGCCAAAAACTGAAGATGGACGCTATTGGATGAATGGTTGGCGTCACTAGCTGTAGGCTCTTGCTATTGGCTGGAGGTTTTGCCGCCACTAGATGAAGACGCTCGCTATTGGCTGGAGGTTTTGCCGCCACTAGATGAAGACGCTCGCTATTGGCTGAATGTTTTGGCGCCAAAGACTGAACACCTGACATTGGTTTAGGCATTGGTTCGTCAAGTTCTCGATAAATCCTTACCAATCAGAATTCAGAGATAAAATTCCTCATCAATCACAGGCTTCCTACCTTCTGGAACTAACCAATCGCAATACAGAGATACACTTGATGTAAAACTAAGAAGTATTGTCATTGGTCTACTACGGCTGCTCCCTCAAGCACTGGGCAGACTTGTAAACAGCTCCTAGTCAGTTAATCTGTGTTACATCAGACGAGGTTAACATTGAACTTAATCTTAGGGTTAAAATCATGGTTAAGTCGAGTAGATTAACAACTTATATGATGAAAACTTTAAATAAAATCGGAAAAAACATTAAAATTACACGAAATCAAATTCACCAAAAGACGAAAACACATTAAAATTCCTTAAATCAATTCACTAAAACACGAAAAAATTAAAAAACTCCTAAATTAATGTACGAAAAACCACAAAATCCCTAAAATTCCAGATATATCCCTAAAACCACATTATTTAAAGGTATATATCCTAAATATTTCCCTTCCATCTCCCTAAAATAATGAAAAGTTTGGATTTACAGAGAGCTTAAGGACGACTCTGCCTCAAGACCCTGTACATTACATTCCGTGAAGTGTCTCATTCTGATTTAGGATCTGAGAAGCGACTTTGACTCTTGTGTCCGACGTCTTGAAGGAACAGTTTACCTTGCGTGGATTCTCTCCCCCTTAGATGTTGACGGGGCAATATAACGCTACACCTCATTATATAGAGAAAAATAATATGTCTTTTAT